TTTGCTTCGCTTTTCACTACATGCTCGAACCAGTTTTGTTCCTCTTGGATCCCCAAGTGTTACTATATACCAACATGCTGTGGGATCGTTGGCAGAGTAACATCAAGATCTAATTCCACTCTTTACCTCAGCCGTAGCCTCCAAACATCCAAATGCAATTATTTCTGCTACACTTCTTAACCACAGTTGTTTAGATGGGGAAAAGGGTGTATGGGAAAGTTGCTAGAGTGAAAGTTATTGGTGAGTGTGGTGTGCACACCTAAATGCTTTGAACATGCTTGGAATGTTTAGTTACATTGGCAGTTGAATCGTGATTGTTAAAGTGTTGTTTGAAGTTAGTATGTTCTAAGATGAGCTGCTCTGCTATTCGTTCTCTAATTAGTAAGCAACCTTCCAAGGTACAATTCTAAAATATAATTATGTAAATCTCAGTTGCTTGCCTTTTTGATCTACAGAAATACCTTTGACTGGCTGATGACAATAGTTTGGTTTATTTGATTCTAATCCTATCATCAGAGGAGTTACATAAGCACAGATGAAGTGAAACATGTCCAGTCCATTCCACAATGTTGACAGATGTTGAGCAGGGGGACAGGCTGTGATGTACCTCCATAGAGCCCCCCGCTGTGTTCTGAATGTTGGCTGATTTCCACTCTCTTTGAACTAGCAGGGAGGAGTGTCTGTCTGAAGTCTTGTCGGCAGGCAAAGCCAGGGGGAATGTCCTGTACTGAGAGACAGTCTCCGTCGAGTGATATGATTAGTCCAACACACTCTTCAACATGGAGGACTGTGTTAGAGAAGTGTTAATACACCCCCTTTACTTCATGTGAGCTTTAGTACAGAGACCAAGACTAATTCAGGACATTAGCAGTGATTGGTTTTAGCCTAGAATATGTTTTTGAGGTTGACTTTTAATTTTTTAAAAGGGGTTCGGATAGCATTGAGATATACAATAGAGAATAATTTTTTTTTGGAAATACAGATTGTTTATACATTAATTTTGGATGTTTTCTTTAGAAATATCTTTTAAGAAATAAATGCACTTTAAATGTATTTGGTTTTTGGACTTTAGAATTAAATGTACATCAAATTTGTGCTGTCTGATCTTAGCTTTACCTTTTTAGTTACTTAATTGAACTCTTCAACACTTAATGTTAAAACATGATTTCTGAACTACTAGAAAGCTCCAGTTTTTGTAAAATGGGGTGGCACAATGTCGGTAGTGGTTAGCACTGGTTAGCACTGTCGCCTCACAGCAAGAAGGTTGCTGGTTCAAGTCGCTAGGTTTCTCTGGGTTCTCCAGCTTCCCCTACAGTCCAATGGCATGAGCTTTAGGTGAGTTGAATAAACTAAATTGGCTGTAGCGTATGAGTGTTTGTGTCAATGAGTGTGTATTGTAGTTTCCCAGTACTGGGTTACGGCTGAAAGGGCATCCGCTCCATAAAACGTATGCTGGAATAGTTCCCAGTTCATTTAGCCAGGGTGACCTCTGAAATAGAGACTAAACCGAAGGCAAATGAATAAAGGATATCTGAAAACGCCAACCTGATTTCACCAAGTAGGACATGTTTCTTGATTAACATCTATGTTGATCCTGCATCAACATTCCAATCAGCCAATCAGAATTAAGAAAAATGTTTACGTTTATGTTAAGTTTAGGCTTTTGATTAGGTTTATGCACTTCTACATGATTGTTATCCAACTATTATTCCCCTCAGATTTTAGAAATAATTTACAGTTGTGGTTAGGTTTAGAGATAGGGAATAGGTATGGATTACATTTTCGAACAAAAATGATCGCATTAAAAAGTGACTTAATGTAGTTCACTGTTTTTGTTTTTCTGTTTTTGTTCAAACAGAAGCCACTGTAAATTGACATGACCAATTAGAACAATAGAAGTCTGTGCGGGAAGATTTTTTTACCTTCAAGCAAAACTTCCATCACAAGGATTTTTGTTAGAAACTCTGAAATGATATTTTCATCATTCTTTAATTAGCTTAAAATTCAAACAAACATCATTTATTCAAATTTTTTGCAGGACTGGGTGTATTTACTGTCATTTGTTATATTTTTTTAGTAAACGAAAGTGTTTCCAAAATGAGAGCCCAGCTAGCAAAATTCATACAGCTCAATTCCGGCCCATACCAGACACTTACAGTACATCCTGGTCACATGGAATGATGGCACTTGGGCGGTATGTTCCTGTATGCTAGATCTGGGCCACAATCAAGCCTTAGCAATACCACATATCGGCTAAAATTCATCCAAATGAACCAGAACTGACCCTTTTCTGGGCCACAGTTTGCTTTTAATCTTGCCAGATCTGGCCTACACCAAATACTTACATCCACTTGCTGAATGGAATGATGGCTCTTGGGTGGTCGGCTTCTATTTGCCAGATCTGGGCCATAAATTAGCTATATAACTACCCGTATCTGTTATGTCAATGATCACTATACTTCATCTTTACCAAAAGTGACCTATCATACAGTATGTTTTATGAAAACAGTATCGTACTTGCCACATCATACCTCCGCTGCTTTGAGCTCACACCATCTTTAGCCAGAGATGCTCACCCATATTCGCCATATCTCATCTGGGTCACTATAGACTCACAGCCACATTAGCCAGAGCTTACTGTGAAAAATATTTGCCAAAAGTGGTCAACATATGTTTAAGTTAACTGGGCCATATTTACTATATCGACTCTGGGTCACTTAGGCTAACAGCCACGTTAGCCAGAGTTTACTGTGCCGAATGTTCGCCAAAAGTGATCCACATATGTTTTAAAAAAACTGGGCCACAATTGCCATATTTTTTTTGAGCCAATTTAAGCTCACAGCCGCATTAGCCAGCTTACTGTGCTGAATATTGCTGAACGTTTGCACCTACACATGTGATACACTTTGGGTTTAGACTCAGATTTCCCTTAAATGACTATGCTACATTTTTGCCAACTGTGGCCCACATTTGTCCTCTGTCATTTGGGCCAAATTTACAATTTTTCACATGGGCCACATTAGGCTCACAATCTTTGCCTTAAATGGCCCGTATATAAATTGGAATCTTTGGCCCGCTTTTGCCATTGTACAGGTGGGCCACTTCAGGCTCACATTCGTTTTGTCTATGCCGAAGGAAGCCCACCAGTGTCCCATAGCTGCCTTAAGTGGCCCACATTCATATGCTATCTGGGAGAGCAAATGGATTTTAACTCTCCACATTTACCTTTGTTAAGTTGTTAAACCTCATATATCTACACATTTGCATAACGCTGATGGCTACAGTTGCTAGTTGTTTGGTTAGATGTGATGAATGGAGGTTAGATCAGTTCTCACAGATGCTCAGCACTCAAGCTAACAGCAGGACCAAGGTCATGCGTTAGCTGTTCCTCTATAAACACACTGGCTGTAAAACATTAACAGACCGCCGGATGCTTTTCTGTGAGCTCTGTAGATGCCGTCTTTTTTGATTCTCCTTTCTGGTGAGGTTCATCTCTGAGGTATTTTGACAGCAGGGAACGGGCCCCACCTCACGGGCTTCTGCGGGACGCTCAGCATCAGCTGTCTCTTCTGGCATGCACAGGCTGCTGGGTCTATCCCTCCAGCATATGCCTGGAGTAACGCAGGGCTTAGCAAAATTCCTCTTTAACGTGACGTCCATCGCTTTGTATGTCCAGGAGTGGCTTCACACAAAGGGCATTGGGTTTATCAGGACAGATCTTTACATGTGGATACACTTTTTAATCACAGCGGGACTACATGTGTTAAAGTAACCTTTAAGATCAAGTGCACATCAAGAACCTCTACAAGGTTGTTTTGAACTGATATAAATGATGATGCTTATGTTTTGAGTTGTATTTATTGTGAGATTTAATGCTAAGCAAAGTCTTTATTTTGTCCTTAAGGCAAAATGTATGCATATGAGTAGCACATAGATGCTAAGGATAAGTTAGAAATATTCATAATCAATTAGCAATGATTGTGCTAGTGAAATAAAATTAAACAACATTGTCTATACTGTGATTTTTTTTTTACGGAAGTCTGCTAAAGATTAAGTTTAATGCATGACAAAAAAAGGGTAAAGAATGAAACTTAATAAATACAATAAATGCAATAATTCTTATATTAAACATTCATTAATCCATTAATTTTCCTTCAGTTTAAACCATGGTCACACAAGAGTTTGAACATGCGTAATTCTACTGTATGGATTAAACTAAATGGTTAGACATTTAAAAAAAGCACGTGATTGGTCCATATTTTAAAATTTTGTCCAGGGAGGTCATGTTTTGATCTTTGATTGGTCTCATGCAGTCACATGATGCGGTTTCGCAGGTCAGAATTCACCAAGCTTGAACTTTGCAACACAGTGAGCTGTGAAACTTGTTGCAAGGGACTTTAGTCCTTTTATTTATTAGGGGTCACCCCAGCGGAATGAACTGCCAGCTTATCCAGCATATGTTTTACACTGCAGATACTATTCCAGCCACAACCCAGCTCTGGGAAACATACACTACGACCAATTTAGTTTATTCAATTCACTTATAGCGCATGTCTCTGGACTGTGGGAAAAACCGGAGCACCCTGAGGAAATCACTCGAACACGGGGAAAACATGCAAACTCCACACAGAAACGCTGTGCCGGCTTTATATTAAACATTTTTAGTTTACTTTATTTAGTTGGTTTATGTTGCACTTTGATGATTGTCCCTTTGATTATTTAAAAGTATGACAAAAACAGATTATATTATAAATGTATTTTACAGGAAGATTTTTCCCTTCTATTTCAAAATTTCACATTTAATTCAGTGTATTTTTATCTATTTTTTATAATTATTTGTGAAATTTACTAAAAATGTTTTCATGTTTTCAGTTTGTTGCATAATATAATGTATATAAAAGCAAATTGTTATAATAATAACTTGTTTCATCCAATGTTCTATGTCTTTTATTTTAAAGTGAATGCTAATTTTTTTTTTTTTTCTTTCCTGTTCTCTGCAGAAAAGAGCAGAATATCTTGTCTCCAGTCAACTGCTGGAACCTTCTCTTGGCTCAGGTGAAGAGAGAAAGTCGAGACCATGCCACTCTCAGTGATCTCTACCTCAACAACATCATCCCACGCTTCGCCCAGATCAGCGAAGACTCAGGACGCCTCTTTAAAAAGGTGACATTCGCCATTATAAACCAGTTGATTCCTCTATTAAAGCCACAATAGTGGCTTTCTTTCATCATCATTTATCTTTCTTTCATCATCATTTATTTTTTTCTAAGTGACACTTCTGTGAAAGTGCATCCAGCATCTTTACTTGTCTAAAGTGGTAGTGCAGAAATGCAGGTTGCTCACTATCTAGAGATGTAAAAGAGATGCCTTATCCACAAGAGTCAATCAGGTCAAATTTAACTTTGTTGAGTGAGAAGATCAGAGAAATTTCACAGGTGATCTTCTTGAAACAGTCATATATGGATGCAAATGCAATTCCATTTGAATTTTGGCAGGTTACATCCAGGACACAAAAACAAGCAAATATTGCTATTAATATTGCTGTTTACTGTAAATATGTCAGGGTTATAGCTGCTTAAGACAGTGGAGTCCAATCGCAGTTCTGAAGGTCCGGTGTCTTGCTGAGTTTAGCTCCAAATTGCTTCAGCGCACCTGCCAGGAAGTTTCTAGTATATTAAGTAAACACTTGATTAGCTGGTTCAGGTGTGTTTGATTAGGGTTGAGACATGCTCTGCGTCCGAAATCACATAATTCCATACTATAAAGTACCCTAAAAACAGTAGGGACCATGCAAGTTGAGTAGTATGTCCGAATTTATAGAATTTGAAAAACAGTAGGTGAGAAGTACCCGGATAACCTACTTCTTCCAGTTAGATTCTAAAGTGCACATCGGATGGATGTTATGCTATCTTTTGATGAACCGCAGGAGAATTCATGAATCGAAGTGGAGCAATTTCGAAAACTTATTGCGGGTAGGTCATGTGATGGTGACAAAATGGTGGATGTAGTACATCCATTCATGACACTCAAATTCATACCTACTTTTAAAATGGCAGCGAAAAACATTTAAATTCAAAAACAGTACCGACTGTGTAGCAGGCAATTTCAGACGCAGCCACGGTGAATGCATTTAAAAATTTACTTTTTCATTTGAAATATGGCAGTCACCGCACATTCACGGAAATGTATACGGTAATGTGGCATTTGCAATTGCATTTACATTATGTAACAATTCATGCGTCCATGTATTGAAAATCCAATTTGCAATTGCATTTGGAAATTTTCCAGAATATCCCACCATCGTTACATATTTGATACTTGAATTGGTAAAAGAATTGAGAAGCTAACTTTAAACTCTGTCCTGTAAATTTGAGGATATTTATAGTGAAATGCATGACATGCATTAGAAGTCTCAGGGATATTTAAGGTCCAGTTCAAATTACGATGTTTTAAATTACGAAAAAGGAAGCACTTAATTTAGGTTTAAGTTATTTTTTTCTTGTTCCAATTCCAATTATAGTATCTAAAATGCCACAGGGGGCGACACGGTGGCTCAGTGGTTAGCACTGTCGCCTCACAGCAAGAAGGTCGCTGGTTCGAGTCCCAGCTGGACCAGTTGGCATTTCTGTGTGGAGTTCTCCCTGCATGTCAAAACATCTCTAATTTATCCCTCTTTTTTATTTTAACTCCCGGCATGAGTCTTTCAGACCCCTATCAGCACTTCTTTTACTCCACTTTCTCTCTGTCTCTTCTCCGATTCTCTTGAGAGACATAAATGAGCCTTCATATCAACATATTCTTCTCAACTCTCAGTCTATTTCCCATGTGTAGTTTAGCTCACTCTGCCCTCAGTGCTGCAGCAATAGCAGGCTCTTTAATTGAACGCTCCTGGTCGGCCTTCTCTCTGGAGGATTCCCAGGAATCGCTGAACTCTGGGCGATTGCACTCACTCTGCGTCCCGTTGCCACACACTTCTCACCTGTCTTAAAAGCTTTATGACATGCTGGAGAAATTCAGCACTCTAAATGCTAATAGAGTCAAGGAAGCCGTGTCCGGAGGAGGTTTAAGACTTTATTGAACCATAAGAGTAGGCACACAAGGAAGGAAAACATCCTTAGAAGTGTATAAAGAGAAGTATGGTGAAGTTTTGGAACAATTTTGTCCATATTCCTTAGTACTAGACCACATTTAGGTCGTACTCACACTATGTACAGTTGCCTTGAACTGGGCTAAAGCACGCTTGTCCTACCTCCCATCTCCCCCGACGGCCAGCACTCACATTATATTCAGGGCCTGGGTACGATTACGTCATCGATGCTGCGCTGTTCAGAAAGCGATCTCGCTCAGCACAGTGGAGATTGCTTTAGTAATATCGTTTAAGTTGTTTGATAAGCAGTAACATGCAGTCAAATATTTCGCTGAACAGATCAGTCACTTTTGACGCTCATAAACAGCCATAGAGTACTCGTGCTGCAAGAATTAGGAGGTTTGCTGAAGGCGCAGCTGTCATGCAGTGAGGGGTTTGCGTCTTTAATAATCTGCGACAGTTTGCTTTCATTAAACAGTAAGACTGATTATTAAATCCATATGAAACAGTCCCTTAAAGTCACATCTCGCTTTCAGTTTCGGGCTTTGGCGTGTTTTGCACTTACTGTACACACAAGCATACCACGCCAAAGCCCAAGTGAACCGCGCTCAGGCCCACCTCTTCCAACCGGGCCAGGGCTGGCCAAGTGAACCGATTCAGAGCACTCACACTTCTCAAACGATCCGGGAAACGGGCCTGGGCATGGTTTGGATAGCATAGTGTGAGTAGGCTCTTAGCTTCAGTAATAAGAGGTGATGCCATTAAGCAGTATGTTTTGCTGGTGAAATCGAGGCTCGTCAGGCAAAGGAACATTTTTCCACTGTTCTTTTATCCATTTTTGGTGAGTACGTGCAAATCATAGACTCAGTTTGCTGTTCTTGGCTGACATCTGAGATACTTGAGGTTTCAATTGGTTGTGTGCTCAGGGATGCACATTCAGTTACTTGTGCTTTCTATCAAAAATGACTCGTCTCTAAAAAAAAAAATATGTAATAAATAAAAATTAATAAATAGTGTTGTGCTTAATTATTACCAAATATTGAGCTCTCTCTCTTTTTGGCCTTCTTTTCTTTCTGTTAAGGAAAGGGTTTGTAGTTTGGAAGCTGTTTGATTGCTGGCCTCATTAATCCCAGGAAAAAAGCCTGTTATACTCAAATTAGGTTGTTTTGTGCACAAATGTGTATGTGTATTGATTTTGGTATGTAATTTTTATAATGACATGGGTATGACCTAGATTTTACAATGTTAAGGTGGTTTATGAGCAAATGCACTGTGTCCTTATATGTCAAAACTGCAAACAATCATATTTAATGTGGTCTTTTCATATTTAAAAATTGCCACAGAGTTGGCTTTAGGAGTTGGGGTCGGATAATTCATTACAGTAAGCTTTTTTTCTTAGTATAAAATATATTACGGCAATGGAAAATCATCATAAACCACCTAAATGTGTGTGTCTGTATCTGTGTGGTGTTATAAATATCTATCCAGTGGAAACAAGTATCAGTTCTTTATGTTGAGGTGCATAATCTCAGATCAGTGAAGCCTGCAATCAGTCAGTAACAAAAAACAAATATAAAATCTAAAAAAAAGAAAAAAGTGTAGCAAATTAAATGCAACACAGGCTCATTGTAAAAACGTACCCCTGAATTATGCAAATTATGTAGACTCGCCATGTACATTAGTGGACTTGAGATGCCGGTCACCCTGACAATGCGGTTCGAGTTCAGTGAGAAACGGTTCCAGAGAGCATGTAAAAAAAAGGAAAAATATAAACAAATAAATAACAGGGTGAGAACGTGGTTAGTCCTAAAAATGTGGTGAAAATCAAGCAGCCGCAAGGGCTTTTCTTTTTTCTGGATTACTTTTGAAAACACTGTTGGTTGGGTTTAGGGAAGGGGGTGATTGGGGGATCGGTTGATCAGTAAGTCAGCCAGTCGACTGCGGCCTCTGTTGGTTTTACACGAGAACAGCAGGCAAAAATTGCACTTGCGAGAGAAAGTTGAGATCTGAAAAAGCGTACACAGCGGCCTCTGATGGATTCACGAAAACAAAAAACTGCAAAAAAAAAAAAAAATGTAGCTCCTGTGACTTATTTTGTGATCTCCAAAAATGTATTTACGGGTATGTATCAATAATGAGCCTGGGTTGGTTAAAATCCAAAAGCTGTAACATTAAAATTTTTGGGAAAAAGACATCACCATAACCATAGCATGAGGAAGATATGTTTGTATATTAATGTCCCCTGGTGGCCTTTATTTTTTTTCCAAAATATATTTATTTGCATTTGTTTTGAACACATAATACATTTAAATAAAAGAGAAAAAAACACACATAAGAGAACCTTGCAGAACTTTAACCCCCCCCCCCCCCAAAAAAAATAATAATAATAATAATAAATAATTAATAATTAATTAAAAAATAATAATAAATGAATAAAAAAAAAAAAAAAAAAAACTCTCGCTAGTTTCCGTACACCAGCATTCACAGCCATCCAATTTACAGTTTAACCTTTTACCTTCACAGCGTATTTAGTAATTTTAGGAGATCACATTATGTAATGGAGATATAACAATTTCATATGATGCGCTTATTTGCTCTTAAAAAAGAAAAAAGTGGAATTCTTTATCTTTATTAGGTAAAGTCTCAACTGTGGAACATTGGCTGTGTTTTCTTCACCAGTAACCAACAAGCATTATTCATGTCAGGGACATAACTTTTGTGCATTTTTCCGCTAAAGTGGCCCTTATTATTAAATAAGAACAGAATGTTGTACTTTTTACATAACACTCTGACTCAAGACAAAGAACTTTCATCAGCCACTTGCATTTGGGAATTAGCAGCAGAAGCCCTGTTGATGGGAGCGATCCTTTGACAAGTGACTGATGTGAAGTGCCAGTAAACCAATCCTCTCACACACACACGCACACCCTGAAGTGATGTTTCTCTGACAGATTTGTGCAGAACCAAAACCAATCTCCTGCCAGGCTAGCGGACAAACGTGTGATCTTTTTCATTTAACAAGTGCATCTCGTCGTTAAGGCTCATAAATCCATGTCCTCCCGTCCCAGAGTCTCTC